GCATTGATAAACATTTTAACAATTCACCTACAGAAAACACTGGCTGGTGTCAGGACCAAATATTTCAATGCAAAATTATTAACCCTTTCACTTTCAAGAGTGTGCCAAATAAAAACTTGAGAAAAAAATTCCTAAGAACTATTTTTTAAACAGTGGGGGGAAAACTAGCACCATTTGAAAGTACTGCTCAGTAGCTTTCAAATGAATGGTCACATCATAGGATTTCATCCACAGACTCAAAAGTTAGAACCACCTTGTACAGCATAATAACCAGTACCACAGGAAGTACTGTTCAGTAGCTTTCATTTAAATGGTCACACATTAGGATTTCATCCACTGACTTACATCTTAAAAACCATGTCAACATGTTGACTCTTGCAGTGAAAGGGTTTTATCCAAAAACTGCATACGCTTACAAATCTCTCACCTGTGCTAAACAAATTACTTCAAAGAACAAAATGTCTAATATTAAGCTGGCAAAGTATGCCTCCTTAGGGTGCATCAGTAGAAGTCTTAAGGGTTGCCATGAAATAAAAAACCTGTGAGACGAAGGTGGTAGGTGCAGGGATCACAGAGAAGAGAAATGATGACATCACAAAAACTAAATTTGTGAAATCATGGGATTGATTGGCACATCCAGACAGAACAAGATGAAAAATGCTCCCTAGCTGTTATGCTCTGATGACTCCATTTAAATCCTTCTAAAATAGACCTGAATCATAAACGTTATGATCCAAGCCAATTTTAGAAGGGATTTGAATGGAGTCATCAGAGCATAGCGGTGCTTATATCTCCTCACCCATTTGCACTAACAGCCTGATTTTTAGCAAGTGGACTATTTTCTTCTTGTTCTCTTTGAATATACTAACCAATCCCATAATTTCACAAATTAAGTTTTTGTGACATCACAATTCTCTTCTCTACTGGCCTATGATTATAGGCTTACCCATAATTCCATACTAATGATCTTGCACTTACACCCCTTAAAAGAATCTTGCTTACCCTATACCCTTCTGTTATATTGCAAGTTATATCACAGTGGAACCACATCTTATCGCCACCAAACAAACAAATGAATTAGGAATTGAGCCATATTAATGACACTGCCTCAACAAAAGCTGTGCCACATCAATTCCAAGGGCAGTGTACCACAAAATAAAAATAAAAATGAAATAAAAACGGCTTACAGGCTAGACTGTCAAATTCTATAAAAAATGAAGGTGGGTGAATAAATTTCACTGTGCAAACTTAACACCAGATGTCTGGGAGTTTATTGATGATTTAATTCACAGCCTGTTAACAGAGGTGTCGAGACATAATATGGTTCCACCTTTTGTTCCCTTTCCCTCACACCCTGATGTTACTAAATTAAATTATTTCTTAATTACCACTAATATAGTTTTGGATAGGTGTTTTCTTAAAAAATGCATTAATTCTTTTCCTTCTGGTGTACCGTACTTCTGATCCACTTTGCGAAGCAAGTCAATCTTGAAGCTTGTAGTTTCTTAACTAATAATANGAGCCATATTAATGACACTGCCTCAACAAAAGCTGTGCCACATCAATTCCAAGGGCAGTGTACCACAAAATAAAAATAAAAATGAAATAAAAACGGCTTACAGGCTAGACTGCCAAATTCTATAAAAAATGAAGGTGGGTGAATAAATTTCACTGTGCAAACTTAACACCAGATGTCTGGGAGTTTATTGATGATTTAATTCACAGCCTGATAACAGAGGTGTTGAGACATAATATGGTTCCACCTTTTGTTCCCTTTCCCTCACACCCTGATGTTACTAAATTAAATTATTTCTTAATTACCACTAATATAGTTTTGGATAGGTGTTTTCTTAAAAAATGCATTAATTCTTTTCCTTCTGGTGTACCGTACTTCTGATCCACTTTGCGAAGCAAGTCAATCTTGAAGCTTGTAGTTTCTTAACTAATAATAAATGATTCTTGTTATTCAGCAGCCTAGCATAGCATGACCATATCTTTTGTCTTGTCCTAACACAACGCCTTGCCAACATACAATACAGTGCCTGTCTGTTTCAAGGGCACCATTGAGTTGGTGCCAAACAGATGACACCCTTGTGGGAATAAACATCCAGTGTACACTGACTATTCTGACTCCACAGCTGGCTTTGATTGGACTGTGAAATGTCTATATTTTCTGCTAATTTCCCCCACTGGCTATGAACAAACACAGCTCTGATCAACTGAGGTAGGTGCAGATCGACATGCACCAAGGGTAAATTCTGTCCAATTGTACTTGGGCAAAATAGAGTTGCTCTGAAAGGCATGCCGCATTCCAGATGTTACAAATAAACACTAGGCCTTTCATTTGAGTCCACAGTATGATATTGCTGGGAAGATGGTTGTGGCTGTACAGTCGGCAGCCTGCTGCCTGGCTGATTGGGTGGATGCGTCGCTCTCCAGTAACTTTCAAGAAATTCTCCCAGATGATCGCATGCATCATCAAGCTGAGCTTCATCCAGCACAAGGTCATAAGCCTCCTTTGTGTTAAACCAAACAAGATGTGAGAAAGATGTGGCCTTTATTATGTAACAAGCATAGGGGAAAACACCTTCACATGAATCCTTAGATACCATATAAGAGTTCTACCCAGAGAGGTTGGAGTTAGTTATGGCAGACTAGGTCTTCCATGAGTTAGATATTTAGGCATTTGCAGAGGGAGGGGTGTGAGCAGTATGGCTGTTACCATGATTTTAAGTTGCCAGGTACAAAATTGTGGCACAAAATTTTTGTGGGTTCTTATTTTTGCAATTTTTGCAGTGATCCGCTAAATAAGTTCCCGCAAATAAAAATTACCGCAAACATTTTTCCCGCAAAAATTTACCCCAGAGTAACTATTCTCTAACTTAAATTCGCTTTGTACACTAACAAAACGGCATACAGTGAAATACTGGTTTTACAAAGGGTACGCACACTGTAGTATTGTTTGAAAATATGTATTTCTATTGCAAGTACTTAATAAAAAACTCTGAAAATCACAAAAAAATAATCACCAACAAGAAAAACCAATCTGTCAAAAAAAAATCGCCAATCCACAAAAATTAACTCCCGTAAAAATTTCGTGCCACACAATATGTGCAATTAGCAGGTGGGGAATTGGACAGATAAGCAGTTTCCATCATTCTAATTTTCTTTTGTTTCCTATGAAAGTAGGAGGGGGTCAAGCTCACAGCAACCAGGGGGAAATCTTGGCCCCTTCCCCTTAGTTACAGCCCTTACCACAATTTCTTTTATCTCACACCCACCAAATTCATATCTTATTTTATCAAAGGGTATGCACACTGTTTCAAAATCAGAGGCAACTACAGGCTGGGAAAAAATTGCTTGTTCCTAAGCCTCCTGATGACGACAACGAAAGTAAAAGTAAATAAACAGAATATGAAGCATTTCAGTCAGAGTCACTTAAGATGTAGGGTGCAAAGAATTTTACAGCCTGCCATTAGGGCAAGCTGTAGCTAGCATGTACTAGCCCACAAGTCATTTCAATTAGCCCTAAAAACCCTTTTTGATCAGCAGGATTGATTACAGTCCTTCTGTAAGTTGAATTTCCCCAAAACAACAGCACTTGCCCATCGGGCCAGTTAAAAACAAAAATCACTAGCCTGATAGCAAAATCCACTAGCCCTGCCCAGGCTATCGGACACAACTTTCTTTGAACACTGAGACGATTTAACTCTTTAAGCACCAATATCCTCATACAAATTCTCCAAACTGGTCTCTATACATTTTCATAAAAATAATATGAAAGCATTTTCCCTCAGGTGATCATTTTACTAATTCCCACAACATTTTCTCTTGATTGTATATTGATATTGCTAAGGAGAAAATTGATGTTGATCACTCTTGGGACTAAGAGTTCAGCCAAAATCTACTATCATAATAGATAGCAATCAAACATAGACCAATCACAAGAACTAATAATATATATAGACAATTTTACTACTTACATTCCCACACTGGGCTAATTTTTCAGCTGCCACAAGCTGTACATTGAGATTTCTAGACTGGGATTTGCCACGGGTTTTTATGAGTCTCTGTAAGACCTGCAGATAATACCAAAAGGTAATAATTAAACAGTGTATGGCCAAAGTGATAATGAGCATAAATCCTCTATCAAGCCCCACATGGGGCTTATTTATTTCAAGCACATTTGAGTGGTGGGGAGCGTAATTATTTCACCGCAATGGGTATGTGTAACCTAAGATACTTTTTCTTGAAGCATATAACTATACAGATTCTTGGTTTGGGGTATGCTTGCCAAAAATATATGATTACCCTCATTACTTGTCATTACTATTCTTCACTAGATTTCATTCCATAAAAAACATAAACATGATGTCCACAATCCCAAAATGAACTTTAGTAAGAACAATGTATCTTTACTGCTCTTTTTAGAAATTCTTGTCTCACAGAAAATCTTTTCCCAATAAAGCTATTTTGAAATGTAAAAGATGAATAATGTATTGATGACTAAATGAGTCATCAACATCAACCAGAAACAGAAACTTTACCTTGAGTGAATTTATTTTTATGTACACTAGCAGGGGGGCTAAAGACGTCTTGAAGAGATGTGTAGGGTGATTCACACTCTCACAGTCCAACACAACCAGATTAAGCCCTCTGGCTAACTCAAATATCCGTTCTATTTCTAGTTGAACTTCAGCTGTAAAGATATTAATCAAATACAATACAAAGGTTGAAGAAGCTACGTCATAACATTTCAGTCACGATCATAATTATTTTGTTTTCATACAAATTACAATCTCTAATCTTAAATCAAAAACAAAAACCAGTGTCTTAAACAAAATCTTGAGCACACAAAACAATTTGAGCCGAAAATTGTAAATGACACTTTGCTAGTCATGTTCAAATAAAGTAATCAACACAGTTTTAAATCTACAGGTTCAGTCCTCTTTAAATCAAGCAAAAATAAAGATGAAATGAAATCCAAACTGTGTTTGTAATAAATATTGTGCCTAGAACACACATTTTCAAACTGCATGACTTATCTTCCTGGGAAAGAATACAGATAACTGTTGGCAAAGTTTTAAGAAAAACATACCAAGTCCTGAACCTTTGCTGTTCGTTCTCTCCATCAACTTACTCCTGCTGGGGTTTGAAATAACTGATCGCTTGGCCAGCGTTATGTCAGCATTAACACGCATTATTGTTATCCTGTAAATGAAGAAATATATCAAATTAACAGAGCAAAGCTAATAAATCTAAGTGGCAAGAAGCAAACCATGTGGCTATTTACAAGCCTGCTTAAGGAGTGGATCAAAAGTAAACGTAAAAACTAGTACAGCCAGATCATGGCTGGACTTCAGCAAGGTGCATGGACTTGAAGCTCACTTAAAGGGTTAAAGCTAAGGTGGAAATACTCATGTCCTTACTGGCTTAAGAAGATCGTCCACTTGAGGGTGAATTAAGTTAAATGACTAGGCACCTCTTATGTTAAAATAATAAAAGAGAGTATTTACTGTTTACTTGACCAGAAATGAACCCTTCTACACCCTTCTACTGCTTACAATCCACATCAAATAACACAGGAACACTGGTTAACTGTATAGCAAGAAATATATCACAGTACATAACTTACCTTCCAGAAAATTTGTGTTTCATGTAATCAAACAAAGCTTTCTGCATCATGTCCGTAACCTGTAATGACATCAAAGGAAAATCATTAAAAATTAATAGCCTTTCTTGTTGATTGCACCACCCTATAGTAGCTGCACGTGCCTATTACTAGTTTGTGGGCAAAATCAAAGACACTTACAAGACAACCAGAAAATAACTGGGAAGTGAGTCTGGGATTTGGTGGACAAGGGTGGCGCAGTGGTGAGAGCACTAGCCTCCCACTAATGTAACCCCGGTTCAAATTCTGGCGCTGATGCCATATGTGAGTTGAGTTTGTTGATGGTTCTCTCCTTTGCTCCGAGAGGTTTTTCTCCAGGTACTCCGGTTTTACCCTCTCCTCAAAAACAGATATTTTCAAATTCCAATTCAACCAGGAATAAGGTAGATAAAGAACCACTTAAGTAGTAGTGCAACCTCTAAGTCAATATCTATTATTTACTTAATATAATAGGCCTTTTGCAGCTAGTTATTCTCATGGCACAAAGCTGCCATGCTGGAGAGCAAGGGATACACTGAGACAAGACTAACAAAGAGCTCACATCATTTTTTATAATGGTAATTTCCTTTGTTTGTCTTCTCCGAATATGTCTCTTTCGTTCCAGCATGGAAGTTTTGTACCAAGTGAACAACTAACTGCAAAGGGCCTATTGAATTGACTGGTGACAATATTGCAGATCACTGGTAATTGTCACACCTCTTCTAACAAACACAATGAAAAAGAGAATTCAAATACTTTACTCTGACTTTTTTGATAATAACTAGTAATAACTGAAGGTCATAGAGTGCAGGCAACAATGAAAGGTCAAAACACTTTTCCTCCTGTGCTGTGCTTCGCGTAAGTTTCACATGACAGATGGTGAAAACACCCATGATTAGATTACAAGGGGTAGAAGGTCGAAATGCGCATGATCAAATTGCGTTTTGTGCATTCCATTCATTCTTAGTGGAAGTCCAAACAAATGCTGGCTACATACGTGCAACGGATGCGTAATAACAACCTGGAGATTAGGATTGCAGGTTCATTTTAACCCTTTAAACCCCAGTATCCACATACAAATTCTCCAGTCTGATCTCCATACATTTCTTTTAAGAATAGTTGAGAGAATTTGGTTTATGATCAAAGCATTCTCCCTGTGGTAATCAATTTAGTAATTCTCATAAACTTTACTCTTGATGATCTTCTGATATTGTTAGGAGAAAATTGATGTTGGTCACTCTTGGGACCTAAAGGGTTAACTAAAAGAACTTGACAAAATACAGTACATACCTCATAACCTTTAAGGGATGGTCCCAACAACACAATAGGCCTCATAGATGGTACAACATCATAAGGAGAGAATTGCTCTTGTTGCTAAACAGGTAAAAAAAGACTGTCAGGTACATATCATTGTGCATTAATTTCATAACGGCTTTGCTCTAAGAAACACTGCAACAAGCCCGAAACTCCCTTATAAAATTCAGGGTGCCCAACAAATAAGGTAAAAGCAAGAGATTTCTAGTTCCCACACCCTTGAAGCATGATTTAGGAAGGTGAAGGTTTTTGGAATAGTAAAGCTAAGCATGACAAGCAGTTGGAGTAAGGGGGTATTTTTTTAAGGTACAGGTAATGAGGGAGGGATGATTATACATTTCTGGGAAACTGCCCACCTACCCCTCCCCTAAGCCAACATTTTACCCTAAGTGAGAAATATGTCTTAATGTTAGCTTAGGGGAGGGGTAAGTGGGCAGTTTTCCAGAAAAGTACAATGATCCCAAGAGAGTCACCCTCATAGAGTACAGCCCTGTTTGTTTTTTACTGATTCAACTATAGCCATAATAAACATTATATAAAAAGTGTCAAAACCTTCTTGAAGAATGGCTTTTTTGATTTGCCGCCTTGTGTCCCTTGGGATGATACTGTGGTTCCTGATGCAGACCTTGGCAATGTTTTGGATGAAGTTGGACTTGATGGACTTGATTCATCACCGTATTCCATTCCATTCTCATCATCAACTGTTGATGGTAATGTGAACATGATTACTCTTAGCTTGTACTAATTCCCCAAGTAGCCTGCGAGCAAGCTCTCCCGGGAGATAGAAGAATTTGAACATCTGCATCGAAAAAGTTGATGCAAAAAAAATGCTGATTGACAGAGATGACATTAGAAATGATGTCACTACCCTTAGCATGTTTTTTTTTCAATGTTTGTTTAGATTTGCGATCGTTTCTGCTTCGTGCTGATTGGCGGAAATCTGACAGCTTCTTTTACACATATCAACAAAGATAAATAATATCTTTCTATGGCAAAACATACTTTGTCCTGATGTGGAGGAATGACGTGATGGTGAGGTATTAGTTGGAGACTGTGCTTGATTCATCATACCTTCGAACTGAAAAACACTACCAGACCTAACAAAAAACAGCAGCAAAACCATGACTCTTNTACACATATCAACAAAGATAAATAATATCTTTCTATGGCAAAACATACTTTGTCCTGATGTGGAGGAATGACGTGATGGTGAGGTATTAGTTGGAGACTGTGCTTGATTCATCATACCTTCGAACTGAAAAACACTACCAGACCTAACAAAAAACAGCAGCAAAACCATGACTCTTTGGTACAGATGAAAGGTTCATAAAAGAAACAGTACATTAACTTAACAACCTTTTATAACCTCTGAGAAACTGCTATGTACTTCACATAGAAATTTAATAATGATGTTACTCACATAATAGACTAGATTTTCTTATTTCTTGTTACTTTGCTACTTTTGACAATATAGCAACCAAAACCACAAAACTGAAGTCAATGCCACAAGGCACATTTTTACTTCTTCTAGAATCACTCATCTACAAGACATTCTCCATGACTCAAGCTCAATAATATTACATACAGAGAAAACAAAGAAAATCACAACCATGACGGTAGTTTGGATATCGGATACTAATTACCATAAAATTTTGTGAACTTTATCTTTGAATTTCTCCAAGAATTATTGTTTATTTGAGAAGCTATATCAATGATATCCAGACACATCAAAGTCGGTCTTAAAAAACTTAGCTGCACGTCATTTTTCAACCCACTTCTCGGTGTCTGGATATCAAATGAAACACTGCGTGTCATTTTTGATATACAGTATTACATGAAAAATCTTACTTCTGATTTGTTTTGCTTCCTTTTCCGCCAACACTGCTGAGTCCAAACTGTTGCTGCAGTGAGTTCAGTTTGCTGGGACTGCAAATGACAAAATGACAAAGTACCATGAATGAAATGTTAATTGAGACATTTTGAAGAAGTATTTAGCATTTAGCAGTACCTTGGAATAAACCCAATGTCACATCCCTCCTTTACAACTCTTCCAATCCACCAGTCGTCATTAAATTTCTGTAAAAAAAAAATATAAAGTCTTAAAATCCAGTGAGAGAGAAGGGAAGGCACACTATAACACTTACATACATAGTAGTATCAAATTTCATCATTATAGATGCAAATATTTTTGAAAATTGAAAGACTCATGCTTAGTGAGGATGTCACTTTTATTTTGTAAATGTTTTATTTACCATTTCTAAGTATATGCCATAAAATGATTTTTCAGCTGTAGTCCAGATGTTTTTTCAGACATAGCAAGTAGGCAAATTGTCTCTTATAAAACATTAATATCAATAATGCCTGGAAGGAGAGGAGAGCTTTCTCTTGCCTGCTTAACTATAGCAGACAGACTCAAAAAGGGGCACAATGTTGTTACTCTTGGTTAGAGAGGAAAAGTCGTTCCATCACATTACCATGGTAGCGAAATTTCTGGATGATTGTTTCAAACTCACTCTTGTTAAATGACATTTAACTGGTCAAATGTTGGCAAGATCTTCTGGGGTTTAACCCGAAAAGACCATATCTGAGTTTAGAAACAGAAAAATTTTGTGTTGAGTTCAGTTTCATGTCGCAGTCGTACAACAACAGCTAAGAAATGTACAAAAAAGCGAGCTGCCCATGCAAAGTTGTTGTTTTGCTGATAGAAACCAATCGCTTTTTTGTCATTCTTATTGCCACTGCCATTATTACTGCTTAACCCTTTAAACCCTAAGATCAAAATTGGAATTCTCATTTGCAGCCCCTATTCATTTCCTTCAGAAGTAATGGGGAGAAGTTGATAAAACATCAAACAAATTCATCTTGTGTGATCATGTCCGTAATTCTCATGACCACTCTGTTTTACAAAGCATTGATATTACAGAGAGAAATTTGACGTTGGTCACTCTTAGGGCTTAAAGGGTTAAGTTGCCTACTGTTGTGCTCCAGAAATTTTAATACCACAGTAATGCGACCTTGCACTTCTCCTCTCTGTTGAATTTAAAGGGGCTGTGTCACGGCAGTCCAGTTCATTTTGTTTAATTTTGCCAATTACTCACCCTCAATCGCTATGGAACTTAAAGTAAGCAAAGAAATTACATGTAACTGACAAAATCAGAGAACCGAGACAAACAAATATGTCTCCTGAGCATTTTTTTTTGAAGTTGCAAGCAGCAGGGATCAACTTTGAAAAAACTGTTAGGCTGACCAGTTTTCACAAATCCTAATTTGAATCTGTTTCAATCTTCTTCAGTTTTGCCCATCCACGACATCTGTTGTTTCTGTTATGTTATTTTAACCTTCCTTTAAAGTTTTAAGCAGTTACTTTTTTGTTTCTCTTAATTTAACGGCCATTTTGTAATTTCCTAATTTGGCTGAATTTCGTGACACAGCTCCTTTAACTGGAATTAACCAAAGTGGAGTTACTTTCTTACCTCTTTAACATGAAGGAAGTCTTTAGCATCAAATGACACTGCAGCGCCATGCACAGGGGAATCATCATCTATGCTTCCGTCATACGCAATGTTTGTTCTCACAGCAAATGCCACTTGCTTTGACTAGATTCAAAAATCACATAGACGTCATGCGGGGTTCTTATTAAGTTTTAAAGTAGACAGCTAGGATGTGAAAGTAGGCAGCTTGGTACAATTAAGGCTGTAGGCAATTTGAGGCTTTCATTCACACTTTACCATTTTTCGCTAAAAAGTAAATGGCTCACACCTCTAAGCAGCCAGTTTTTTAGCCCGCTGTCAGCACTTACATATAATGATCCAGGTCATGAAACTTTTTTTACACAGGATGAAAACCAAGAATAAAAACAACAAACACATTTATTTTTCTTATTGAAGGAAAATGCATAAATCTCCAGCACAGAAAATCTAGAACTAGAGAAGGTGGCAAAGGGGGCACAGCTTGTGGAAATCATTCACACATAGTTTACAAATACACTAGAATCAAAACAGAGTTTTGTGTTTTATTTATACATATAGACCTCTTTCATAAAGGCGGCCTATTAATATATGTATTCTTTTGTATGTACGATAATTAGCCTTTCTGACCTTGTTAGCAGGTGCAAAATACAAAAGAATTGTTACTTTCAAACAAGGTCAGAAAGGCTAATTATCATCATTAT